TGGCTGTCTCTAAATTTTAGCACTGGTTTATTTATGTACTTTTTACCAGAAATGCAGTTATAAAATACCTATTCTGTTTTATTTACACATCAATAAGCCCCAGCCTAATGATTAAAAAAAACAGCATTTACTTTACACAACAATAATTTTTCAATATAATACCATTCCTTGTCAATGTGGTGGATGAATTGGTGGGGTAATGGATAGCAGCACAAAATGATAAATCAGAGAGCTGAATTTGAATTCCCCTCAGATTTATTACATTCACTTATGTGCAAATAATCTTGGGAAAGGTTTGAATCCATCTCCTCCCCCAGCTATGGATTAAATAGTAGGACTTGTATTTAGCAAAATTATGGTTCTCAAAAGAATTGTTAATGCAATATTCACTCAAAAAAAAGAATTATTCTTACAATCTGAAATATGTTTTAGATTTAAATAATCCACTAAGGGTTGATGAGCTGTAAAAACAAATCTATTAGTCATTGTCAATGTACTTAATTCATTGGTAGATATTAATCACATGCATTGAATCAATATACAGTGAAAATCTCAGATCAAAATTCAGTTAACTTCATGACATCATGTGGATTCACCTTTGTATATTATACATTGCTAAAAAATAAATAGATTAATCAATACTTAAGTATAAAGCAAACCTTATTAAACCTCTCCTATTTATTTTAACTTGTAACATAATACTTTTTTTGTTAAAATTATTTTGTCTTTTTCTTTCTTATATAGGAGAACTCCACTTGACTCCTCTGAATGCTATGACTCAAATCCGACCATCTTTCTCCTACATGGACAAAGCTGATACCAAACAAAAGGTTCTTAACTCTAAACAAATGGAAGGTGGAGGAGGTATGTATACTTTTCATCATATACTCTCTTAACCTGACAAAATGTTCTTGTTTAATAAATATATAATTTGCTAGGTCCAAATAATAAATAAATAAATATATATATATATATATATATCATTCCAGATATCTATTGAACTGTGTTTTATGTCTTATATGAATTCAAGTTTTGGTCATATGATTAAAACTAAAATCCATTTTTAGTGATAACAATAAAATTTTGAAAATTTGTGTTTTTAGTTTAAGAAATCCAGGGAGAAGTTAATTAAAATATCAATCAATAATAAAGATTTGTACCAAATAAAAATGCAATCTGAAATATCCATGGTGAGGATAACTTGGAATTTTTTAATTCCTAGAACAAAATAATCATGCATTGAAAAAAATTATTAGAAAAATCGTAATAATGCTGTACCAAATGTGCACTGTGCTGGGAGAGAAATTGAAGAAATAATGTGATTGTACCAGAACTTATCTTTGGCAAAAATTTATACTATTTACCAATGAAATGATGCTATGGCATTTATATTCACTTCAATTTGGAAAAAAAGCCAAGACTATACAACTATAATGCATTTACATAACTATTCACATATATAAATCATTGTTCATCAATCAAGTCACATTTTATTTGTATTAAAGCTATAATATATATATAATATATGTTTGTGTGTGCTATAGTAAGATGTAGGATAGTATCCAAAACCAAAATGGAGATAATGGCGCAGAGTGGAGATCTTTTTCTTTTTTTTCTTTTTCTTTTTTTAAATGACAATACATTTTACCAATTCTAGTTTCAGGTTGTCAAATCTGATAAGATAATTTATTACCCCTCTTAATTTCAAAGATCCCAACACATTTACTTACACACAGTTTTGTCTTTCATTCTGACCTGAATTTGCTAAACAATACATGTTGGCAAAATATAGTCATTTACAAAAAAAAATAGTTTTCCACTTTGTCCCATTATTCTAAATGAGTGCTTTACTGTTACTGTCTCAGGTCACAGAGTGACACTTTAATCCAAACAAATGTAGTTCTACAGAAGGATGCTGAGAATACCATCGACCAAACATGTGAGCAACAAACAAAGTTTTAGATAAACTGAAACAAAAAGGAAATTTATACTTAACATAAGGAATGACATTTGAAATTTCTAGGGCCCATAATGAAAATTTTTTTATTAATGACTGGACAGATTGAAAGCAAGAAAGAAAAAAGACACATAACCTATTTAAAAAGCTTGTGTAAATGGATAGCAGAAAAGAGATTAGGAGAAAAGACAAAATTTACTAAGAGCTACAAAGGATAGGAAATGGTTGTGAGATATGATTACCAACATCCTGAAGGGATATGACACATAGAAGAAGAAAAACATACATATATCATTTCATTTGACAGAAGCTGTGTCATACCATAGCTTTTGTCAAATGAAATGATATATGCATGTTTTTCTGAATGGTTTCTTCAGTAAAGTAACATTTATTTTGAATATAGGTTTCAAATCTTTATTATTGATTGATGTTTTAAATAACTTCTCCCTGGATTTCTTAAACTAAAATCTCCACTCACAAATTTTCAAAATTTTATTGTTTGCTCACTAAAAATGGATTTTAGTTTTATTCCTTCCTGTTTCGGTATCATTATGACCAAACTTGAATTCATATAAGACATAAAACACATTCAATTATCTGAATGATGACCTATATATATATATATATATATATATATATATATATATATATATTTATAATATGGACAAAACCATTTTACTCACTACAAAGATGCACTGAAACCAGGTTGCATCTTTGTAGTGAGTAAAATGGTCTTGTCTATATGATAAAATTATAATAAAGGAATAATTATCGCTCTACTATCGGTACCAAGCCCTCTTTTGGATTAATGCTGTGAACGTTGGAATTTATATATTACTTTCATTCTCATTGCATCGGATATATATATATATATATATATATATATATATGTATATAAAAAATCCAATCCTTTGTGTACAGATAGCGAGTGAGTATAGGATGCAATTTAAAAAAGCAGAGGGTTTTCCAGGTGTCAGGAGCAGGTATCTTATTTTCATGTATAAAATGCACCTGATTTTAGACCAAAGCAAATAACCAACACTTGTGAAAAAGGAGAAAATAATGAAAGAAAAAAAGAAAGGAAAGTTTGTTTACTTTTGTGATTTGTAAGCATTAGAAAAACATGATGAAGATTGTGGTATAGGGCTACTAAATCGTCAATACACATTGAGAAAATAGATTCAAATAAAATCGAATAAATATTAACTTGTTTGTTTGGTCTTAATTTTTTTGTAACAATCTGAGGTATTTCTTTTGAAATTAGTTTTGTGGTTCTGAAAAGGATTGTGAGAAATCCGTGTCATTTTTCTGTGCTCCAAGATCTGAGAGTGAAAGGTTGTTTTTGTCAAAACCCTTCAAGCTCACTTTCATTGTTGGATCTGTAGAACTGATTGAATTCATTCTTTGTCAGGTTGGGGTACAGTAGGTATCCTCAATGAGACCATCATCATTGGTTTCTTGTGGTACCTCTGTTAACCTCCATTTCTTTATGAATTCCTTATATAGAATGTCATCTTTTGATGCTGTCAAGCATGTTTGAGGTGTAGCATTTCTTGAAGGCTTTGACAATGGTAGCAGTGGTGATGATTCATTTGCAGGTTTCTTCAAGCTCTGGTTTTCTCATTCTGCCTCTCAATGCATAGGCATGATTTATTTCTTTTTGTTGCAATACGCCATTAGATAAATATTATCTCTCTGGTAAGCAAATCTGATTTTGTTTGTTTTCAGTCCTTTTAAGACACAGGAGATTTTTGGACACCTTTTTGGATGAAAACACCTGAATTTTATACACACAGAATTACAGTAGCAAAAATATATGAAACTTAATAAATTTAGCAATTTCATATTTGAGTAATTGTGTGTGTGTGAGGAGAGCAAGAGAGATTTCAACCATTGTTAGTTGTTTCCATAGAATGAATGGAAAAAGTCATAGATAGCCATTGTCTGTGTATAAAAAAACAAAACATTCCAGAAAAGTGTCATATGTAATCATTATAACACCATTACACTTTTCTAATTTCTTTCAGTAATTTGCTAATCTGACTGCAAAAAAAAAAAATGCTTGAAAATTCTGGAGGGCTTTTAAAATGCCTTTTGAACTGTAAGGTCAATTTAAAACCTATTCACCTATCATCCTTCTTTTTTTTCCAAAATTCTCACCACAAATATATATACATACTGTATATATCTGCATATAAGGCAACCTTAAAATCTTAAAAGTTACACCCCAAAATGCAACAGTTACAAAAATATAAATTAAATCCTGTGGTGTATCATCACTTGTAAGTAGGCCATAGATCCCGGTAGGCTAACAACTGTCTTGGTATGGTAACTACTGATGTAAATATTTCTAGTAGAAACAATTTGCATTATAATGCTGTACTTCGGTTTTATATGTAATAAGACTACTTCTTAATTTCCACATTAAAATGCAATATTCAAGATTCATTTCATATTAAATATTCAAGAGACAATTACACGACAATTTGTAAAAGTTTCGCTGGGCAACGTGTACAAGTAACATAAACAAATCTTTCGTTCTTGTAGTGGGTGTGTTCATACCGATCATTATTTCTCATAGTAATGTTAAATAACAGCATTTATGATAACATATAATCTATATTTCTAATTAAAATTCATTATCATTGTGGTGTTAACAACATTTAGTATAATATGCAAACTTTATTTTTCAATAACATACATTATACAGGTTTTTTCGGGGGTTTATTTGTGGTGTTAAGCAGCAAAACATTTTAAGATGCCACAAAATCTTTATTTCTCATTACAGAATAAAAAACATAAGACACTCAGAAACATAATTAAAACCCTTCAAAATTACTATAATCATCACCTGATAAAAAATGTTCATCATAAACATTGTCATTTACAGTTTTGTCATATGGATCCCAGTCAATCATCTTATACTACAGATATCAGCTAAAACAATGAAAATTTACCTAGATTTTGGGTCTTATCTATAGATCAACATATGTGGGAATATATGGTATATTTTTTATAATGATTCTTTCTCTGTTTTCTGTAGAATCTTCTCAAGAGGAGGAGGAAGAAGAAGCCAAGCCAGTGCGCCTGAAATTTGCCCGCCATGAAACTGTGGAAGCTAAGGCTCGCCGTATGGCTTCATATGATTACTTACAAAAGAAAAGAGAGGAGGAGCAATGGATTAATGTCAAGCATCATTCCATTGATGTATGTCAACTTAATATATTAAAATGAACATTTGTGATTAGTCATGGGCTTTTTTTTTTCGTTAAGTGTTCTTGCAAAAGCATTATATATCTTAAATAACTTTCTGTACATATAAGAACATAATGAAACAGTATCTATCTATATTTCTGAGATGAGGTATTATGTACACTATTTAACATTGCTCGAACTATCATCCTCATCTTTGTTGCCATATTTATCACAATGTTTCGGCCATTGTACGCTCCAGTTGCAATGTCAAACTGAACCCTTTATTTAGCTCGCTGGAGTAGACTGTTCTAGTTCCACGTGCCATGTCTAATGGGTGTCAGTTATCAGTTATCTCCTGTTAATTCCCCTCTCTAAGTTCTCCACCGCCTTAACCAGGTATTGAACTCACACTCTTTGGGTCCTGTCACTGGATCTAACTAACACCTTTATCCATTGTGCTCTGTGTCCTTGAAACAGCAACTATAGAAAATTATTTTTGTTTTTTGACTTCAAAACTTTATAAGTCTAATTTTTAATATTGTATTCACTTTAATATTTGTAAAACTACATGTCATCTGAAGATGTTTATTTTTTTTAAGTTGTAAACTAGTGTTGTTTCCTTTTTAAAATCAATATTAAAAGAAATTGCTTACTTTTTTATGTAGGATTTAATACTTTTATTGTATTCATTTAATTATTTTTTTTTAATTGTTTGTTAATTTCTTAGTTCTCCAAAGTTTCTATTATTTTTGTAAATATTTTCAGTGCATTGTTTTGCATAGGAATAGATGACCCCTGCTTATTTACGGCATACAATGCAAAAGTATAATAAGTATAAAAAAAGAAAAGAATAGGTATGGGATGTTCAGGTCACTTTTGTGCCAGTTATGTCTATACAGCCAAACTTAAGCCCTACATTGGGAAAATCAGAATAAAATCTACTATCCCATTGCATCAGATGTTTGTTTCTTGGTACTACAAATATTCTGCAAAAGTTGCTTAGGCTATGTAACTTGGAGAACACCCATAATGTAAGATCTCCAGTTGCAAATGAAATCTTTGCAACAATAATAATAATAATAAATTATTTTATTTCCCAGGATGATAAGTCTGTGTCTGAGAGGAATCTATTGTTTGCTGCCAAGAATCATGAAGTGACAGAATTCAATATTCCTACTTGGGAATATCTGGAAAAACTTATGCCTCCTGTTACAGAAGAGCACAAGTAAGTAATAAATCTTTTTAAGATTTTAAAGTCATTTTTCCTTTTGCTTGTCATGCAGTAATGTCAGGAAATAATCATGTTATTGTAGGCAGGTTGGGTAAATTGAAGTGTACTTCATATATTTTTTTTTTTTAAGGAATCTTGTACAAGAGCTATATATAATGGTGTTTATAATACAGTCATTCTGTATAAACAGTTTAGCTTTAAATTATTTGGTAGTTCTAAAGAGAGATACATACAAGAGATTTGAAAGATTGATACATTACTAAACTGGATTTTAATAATGTACAACGCACCTTTTTAAGATTAGGATTTTTAAAAATTTATCTGTTTGTAGTTATTTCCCTTTAACACTATGAAAAAAAAAAAAAAGTTTTAACTTTAATCATTTCATCTGAGAAAGGCAATAATGTGACTAAAATGCAAGGGCTTACTGACAATGAAATATAACTTTAAAATGTTAGTAAGGATTAAGGACAATAAAAGATCAATATTCAGAAAGATAGAAAATGGCAGATTGACATTGTATTTAAATTTTTTAAGATCATAGTTGATAGGAAAGCAAAAAAGATGGAAGAGAATTCCACAGGCGAGAAGTGCAAGAGAATAAATTATTAGAATAGAACTTATGATTATATCTAGCTAATTTAAACAGTAAAAGGATAAGACTGAGTTGCCAATCTAGTACTACACTTAAATTCATGAGGTCAAAGTACCAAAGAAGAAAGTTCATTAGAATAACTGCCATGAAAATATAGAAAAGACACAGGAAATCTAAATTATGGGAGTGGGGAAAGTGACTGAAGCCAAGATGCCAGGTCAGGATCAATAACATTAGAAACCCTTTTGTCAAGAATTTTGAGGGATATAGCAGGAGCCAGATGTGGCAGCAATGTTCAATGGTATGCAGCTCTAAATTCAGAAACTCACTTTGGCAAAGAAGAATTATAGCTTCTTTATAGAACTGTTATTGGGCATTATCGTGTTTAGATGTGACACAATTCAGAATTCAGAAACCCAACTTTAACAATGAAGAATTATAATTTGATAGAACTGAGATTGGTCATATATATAATGTTAAACTATTGAATCTAATTTCTTTTTTGCCACACATCAATTTTTTTTTTTTTTTTTTTCTGAAAAAAAAATTATAGTACTGTGTTAAATTTTAAAATGCATAAGTGAACCTAAAAAAGAAAACTTCAAAGAACTAAACTTTTTCTAATGTAAATAAATCAATTTTTTGATGTCTAAACAGTCATAGGTTTAATGCAACAACTTAATTCTTGTCTTTTCTAAAACAAGGCTTTGGTCAAGGCATCTGGCATCTAAGCCTACAGAAAAACCACTTACTAGATAACTAATAATAAATACTTGTGTTTTATCAGTTTCCAGCCATTCAAACCATTGCACTATTTTATAAGTGTCAGTATTAATATTTCCTGTAAAAAAATTATTAAGTAGCAGCTAGATCTTGGCATTTTACAGTTGAAATAGCTAAGTGTAACCATAAGTTCTATGCTAACAGTTTCTTTTCTCTAACATTTTTGCTTGTAGAACTCACTTCTGGCTTGTCAAACCAACTTTGATCTTCAAAAATTTAAATTCAGTGTCAATTATTATCTTCTTTCTCTTTAATAATGTTTTTCCTTTTCTCATATTCTTTCACACACAATAGCCCTTTGTATCTTAGTGGTTTCATTGCCTTGTTTGAGGTGAAATGATTAAAGAAGAAAAAAAGTCATCTATGAATATTTATATTTAGAATATAGAGCAATTTTATCTTATTTTCTGCCATGTAACTCTTGCTCAACTTGGAGAAGGGAATAGCTTTCACTTCATGTTTTGTTTTAAAAATCTATCTGTACATTTTTATATTTTAACAAAGAGGTCAGACAAGAAGCATCACCAGATATTTTATACCAATTTGAGATATTTTTGTTTTTAAATCCTAAAAATATTAATATTTTCTTCAATTTTTGTTCATATAGAGAGAAGCCAGCTTTGCCAAATAACATCTTATCTCTATCCCAACTCCGTACAATGCCCTTACAAGAACAGGTTAAGGCACTGCTCATAAATGGTGAGTTCTCTTTTGTATTGGCATTAAATTTTATCAGGTGGGGAATACTATAGAAAGCTTTAGTTTGTACTTGTGATATCTTTGGATATAGTGTGCCATATTATTTCCTAGTCATTATATTCCTAAGTCCAATCTATATTGTTATTGACAAATTACTATAAGCTCTGTTATCTTACTTATCATTATTTAAATTATATTCTTGATAGATAATTTTAATGTTTGCTATATTTAAACAGACTTATATTTACTTATTAACTAATATACTAGACAGAAAGCAGATACCATATCCAGTTGATCACCAAGTCACTACACAAATTATAAAATATTAACTCTTGAATTTTTTTTATTTTTAGTTTCCAATCCCAACACCATTTTATCAATCTTCATCTTAAATTTCTTTTTAATCAGATGACCTTTTCTATTTCTAAGTTTTTGTCATCGCTGCTTGCAAATATACCAAATGAGAAGCATAAGCTGAAAAAACTCGTAATTACATTATTTACATTTGGACTGATGTCCTAATCTTTGTTGTTACTATCACATTGTTTCAGCCGTTGTGCCCTCTGGCCTTCAGCTACCTGCTGAGCCATGGAATTCAGAAAAATTATATCATATTCTGATTTCTGCTTGTGAATGTGCTTGTTACCATAACAATAAAAATGGCACATTATAGTGAGAATTTGTTATGATAATATTGTTAAATGGTTTTAACACAAAGAACAGAAATTTTGCATCCAATTTTCAACTTCATAATGTGTGTGAATTGGGAGGTAGGGATCTGCATTTGCACTTATCCTTATAAAATTGAACAGATTGTTGTATATGTGTGTACTCTTAGCTTTCTAATACAAAATGGATTCTTAATAATTGATGGGTGGTGGGGTCTTAAAAGGTGATTGTAAAATCATTTAAGGTATCAAAGTACAGGTGGAGTTGAAAGATTCCTCACAAAAAATCATATCAACATTGAAAAAGCAGGTGGAAAATGGAAAGTATTAGTAATTACTGCTTAAATGATATCTGTAAACTTATATGTTTTTCTTAAAAAAAAAATGTTTTTTCATATATCATGTAGAAATAAAATGTAACTGCTTATTTATTTTTTACTAGTTTTAACCTGTGAAAATTTTAGTTTTCCTATTTGAAATTTCGGACAAATCTTATTTCTTCCTTTAATGATTAAATAAGCTTATAGTGAGCTCTATGACAAAAATATCTATAGAAATTTTCTCATCACATTGTTAAATATTTGAGATTAATAATTAAACTTTAACAAAATATTGCAGTAACCATCATACATATGAATGCTGGTTGTTATTTTAAGTAAGCAATTACAAATGAAAAGATTTGAAATTGACAACTTTCGCCCATTTCACTAAAACAGATTTCTATCTTCCCTTCTTTCTTTCATTTTCTCACTGAAATCAAGTAGTGTCTCTAATATACCTTTTGTCTTTCTATGCGATCAAAATAGAATAGTTCATTATTTATGAGGCATCAACTGGGCATAATGGTTGTGCGAACAGACAAATGCAGGGACAATTACTATATGATTATTTCCAAATATAATAAACAAGTGAATTGACAATGAATTTAACAGCTGCCTTTGGCAGTCTTTAATTGAATTTTCATAAAGGAATGGATGCCTTTCTAGAACTTTCCTTTTGTGGAAAAGAATGTTGCACCTTACCATCTTCTTGACTTCTTCATTCAAAAATTAAATAACAGTGACAGTATAAAAATAGGTAAAAATAAAAGAAACAACTTAGGAAATCCTTTGAATCAAAATTTTTATACTAAGTTTTAAAAGCAGGTCATGTTTACTTTTGATAGTTACTGTAAAATCTTCAAAATAAAATTTATCTACAAAATTTTGTTGAAGTCTACGCTTCTTAATTTATTTCAAAGTATAATGGCTAATTTTTGATTAGAACAATTCACTTCTATGAAAATCATAAATGTAATGCTTTTTAGTAGGAAGCATATGACAGGACCAATAGCACTAAGTGTTCTGACAAGTATTTCTTTCATCGATATCCAATGCTTTTTTGGAATTCTAATCAAAATTTAATAATAATAATAATTGATAATAATGGTTCATCTAAGAAATTTGATTACAGCTAAAACTCTTTATATAAAATAAACTCTTAGCAAACAACATTTATGTGTTATGTTTTCTGTTTATTAGAATGTATTTTAATTTACAACAAACAGAAAATAGATAATATAAAAAAAACAAATATGGAAAATTTAGCCACAATGCAAATTTTAATTTTTCACAATTTAAGTTTTTGTTTTTATTCATTTTAAAACTAATATTTTATTTTTATTTTTTTTTTTTAATTTCTTAAACATTTTAATGATTTTTTTTTTTTTTTTTTTTTTTTATATATATATATATGCTACTAATAAATAATCTCTCCATCTATCCTTCCTTCCTTCTTTCCATCCATCTGAATTAACTCCACATAGATATATTATGCATTTTTGAAATCTGGATGATTCCAGGATTGAAAATCTGCCCTTTGTCTGGTGCTTGAACATCCAGCATCATGATTTGTGTCTGAATGAGGAGGGAACAATCTAAAATTCAAATTTTAGAATAACTGAAAAAAATTAGTGGTTTTAAAATTTTTCAATTTATATTAGTTTTAAAGTAACACAAAGACTTTGAATTTAAAATTTTTTGTTTTAAATTCAGTCTAAAATAACTCTAAAACTTTGAATTGAGGAAATCAATTGTATTTCCTTCAAAATATCAAGGAAATCTGAGTTAAAGTGAAAAGTTTCCTGGCATGAGAGTTTGATTTGAAGAATTCAATTTTGGGCCTGAATTGGAATTTTGGCCCAAATCAGACTTTCAGATGGAATTGAGCTTATATCCTGAATCAGTGAGGTTTTGAAGTTTCATGGAGTGAATTGAGGAATTCAGTTATTTCTTCAAAATTATCATTGCTGTTTTCTAAGCTGGACCAAAAGTCCCTTTAGTTTTGGGCCAGAGGCCCAATTAGCCCTCTACAGAAGCTAGTCTGCACAAAATGGCTTTTAAGCTAGTGTTAAATAAAGTTAAAAAAAAAAAAAAAACATTTTGGCTTTGAGATGGTTTAAAATTTGGTGAGGTATGATTCTGAGATAGTGGTTAAAAAAAGCTCAGTTTCCAATTGATAATCATTGTAGAATGATGTGGGGTATTGTAAGATGAAGCAACTGAAATAAGGTGAAGAAATACTAGTCATAATTTAATAATAACAATGCTAAGAAATTTCAATATTATTACTAATGATGTTTATGTTAAATATAATGAAGCTTTATTCCATGTTGATCTTGTTATTCCATGAAATAATTTATATTTCAAGAAAAATTATTTTTAATCTGAAGCGATCGAGCATTCTGGTGTTTTAATTATTTAAGATTTTACTGAAATTTTGTCAATTACTTTTGGAATTGGTAAGCTTAGATTAAAAATTATTATAAAAGACAATGTGTACAGATTTTGTAAAAGTTACTAATTTTTGTCGTTTCTTGAATGAGGAAATTTTTGAGAGTTCACATTTTTGTCTGCTTTTTATGAAGTTTTAAGCAAAGATTTTACTTGAAAATCAAAGAGCTGAATTCTGATTCCAGTCTGGTTCGTTTTATTCACTTACGTGCAAATACCCTCGGTAAAGGTATGAATCCACCTGTTCTATCCCCCAAATATGAGTTAATTAGTAGGACGTGTCAGTAAATCATTATCATCTCCAAAAATTATTTCAATATATTATTTTTTGACTTTAAATAACTTGCAAAAGATTGATAGGGCCAATAGAACTAGGGTGTCTAAAGTCTTTTTTGTAATAAATCAGATCCAGTTTTAATATTTTACTTTTTTCCAAGTAAGCAAGTATAAAATTTCTCACTAATTCTTTAATAAATACTTAGCACAGTTTATTATTTTTGTAATTTACAAACAAAATTAAGCAAAAATGAAGTCTTGGAAATTTAAATTTCTCAGGTGTGAAATTTAGAATATTTATTAACAGGTATATTTCTTTTACATTCACTGATTGTTCATTTCAGCTAAAGTGATTCAGTTTCGCCAGTTGCTAGCTCTTCTTCCACGTGGCACTGATCCTACAGCAGTCATCCGATGCCTACAGCAAGTTGCAATCCTTGTTCAGGGATGCTGGGTTGTTAAAAGGTCTGTTTAAACATACTTGCCATAAAGAAATACAATGTGCAATGGATAAATTGTCTAAATTGCACAAATATAAAAATAACACTGACATCTCATTTTAACAGATATATTTACCAAAACTACACAAAAATATCTTGAAATGCTAAAGAGTAAATTTATTCAATAAAATCACCATTGCCTTCGAACATAGCCTCTAGATGACTTTGGAATCTCTTACAATTCTTCTGGACAGTCTCCTTCTTTAAGTTAGTGAATGCTGCCATAATCCTTGCCTTCAGTTCATCTTTGGTGTTACAAGGAGTTTTGTTGGTCTCTCACTCAACTGTACCACACACATAAGGAGATTGTAGTCTGGGGAGTTAGGTGGCCAGATGTCAGGTGTAATGTAGTTGCAGAAATTGTCTGACAGCCATGACTAGGTTCTCCTGCTTGTATGGCATGGTGCAGAGTCGTGTTACCAGACATAGGGTCTTCCAGCAGCTACCCTCTTGCCCCAAGGTAGCAGTACTTCCTCAAGGTACTTGATATAGGCCTCAACAGAGGCTCTCTGTTACAAATTTGGGAGTTCTTTTCTTATCAGAATTATCAGAGTGAGTTTTCCAAGCTGCTATACCTTCATAATGACCATTAGACTCCTCCAACTCTTTCCAAATCCTAGGTACTGTCCTCAGATTGACACCTAAACACTCTGAAATGTTTGTATTGGAGTTTCTGGCACAAATGTCAAGCAGTACAGCATGCCATTTCCAAATTCCTGATTTCGGAGTGAATTACATTATGGTGCTCTCTTTCTCACAGACAGTACCCCCCTACTAATTCTACTATATTGTGCAATCATCAAAATCAAACAACTTGCACAAAATTAAAAAGATAAAATGATGACAATTTACCCATTGTACATTGAACTTTATTAAATTATTCCCATTTATGATAAATTAAACTATTTGACATAGACCAATTAACTGGATAATGCATTTTTTTTCTCTATATTTAAACAGAATTTTTTAAAATCTTAGCATTAGATCCATTTACATTATTCCCAACCTTTTTATATACTGTTTGAATTCATTTATTAACCAGTATACAGTGTGCATATATTTTTTAAACTCTTCCGCTTTTATAAAAGTTGCTTTTGTTTTTTTTTCTGATATTACCAAATAAAATTTTGAAAATTGATTTGTTCATTTGGATTCTCTCTCTCATGCACAGTATGTTGATGCAGGAAAATAACATCTTTGAAAAACTGCCTAAATTTGTTTGAAATTGCCTTAATCCCTCTCTTACAACCAAATTAGGTCAGAATAGTCCTATATTCCAATAACTAGTTTAATTGTTACCCTATTAGAAATTCCAGTAAATCATTTTTCTAAACAAGAGATTCTGTTTTTGAGATTTTTTATTTTTATGTATTCAGTGATAGTTTAAATGTTTTATACAACATTGTTGCTGAAATTTATTAGATTAATATGGTCTTGTGTATCATTTTTGAGAATCGTGCACCTACCAATACAGAAATATATAAGGATTTAAATTCTTTCCTACCAGAATTAGTTTGTTCCTGAAGTTCATTTTCTCAATACTGTAATTTCTCAAAAATAATACACACCTATAAATAACACGTACGCCAACAAATGATCCAAAAATTAAGAAATATATCTATCCCTATGTATAATACGCATCTATAAATTTTGTCAAAAAAAAATATATATTTATGAAGACATTAAGAATACAATCGAAACTAAGCAGCTAAAATTATGTTGAAAATTACCATCTGGTTTCCCTGATAAATATAGCATTTTATTTTGCTGCCAAAATGTCATCAAAATGTGTGAGTTATAGTGAAAATTTTAAACAAAAAGTAATAGAATTAACAGAAAGAATAGGAAACAGAGCTGCAGCTAGAGAACATGAGTGAGGCTAACTTACATTTATGGAGAAAGAATAACAATGAACTAAAAAAAAGTGTAAATCAAGTGCCAAAGCTATACGCAGAGGAAGAAAAGCTCAATATCCAGATATGGAACAAAGTTTAGTTGAATTTGTGAAAGAAAGACGATCAAGAGGATGTTCCATAAGTACTGTGGAAATAAGGATGAAGGCAAAAGAACTTGTGAAAACCATGTATCCTGGAAACACATTTAAAGCTTCAGCAAACTGGTGTCTTCTTTTTATGAAGAGTCTTGATATATTTATTAGAAGAAGAACATCCATAGAACAGGACAAAGATAATATTGTGAATGATAATTTGTTTAATAACACTTTAGATATTGATTCTATAATAGAAAATGATCATGATGAAAATTAAAATTTCAATAAATTGTTAATGTGATATCCTCTTTTCTTTGAAATTGGCCCTTTTATAAATTTTTTTTTTTTTTTTTTGCCAAATAAAAAATGCAGTTACTGATAAATTTATTGACAAAAAAAATGTTACAATTATTATTGTTGGATTTAAAATGAAAATTGGGATATCTTTCTTATTTTAGAACAAGTACATATTTATTATTATTATAAATCAATAATGAAAAAATATTTTTTAAAACTATTTATATACACCCCTACTATTATGTGTATTTTACAGTAAAAAAATGTGTATTATTTTTGAGAAATTACGGTATTTGTATTAAAATTAAAATTTAATTTGTTTATTAAGGCATTTTTAATGAGCTGTCATGTAAATAAAACATTTTTATAGAATATTAAATGCCTTCTTTTTATAATATTAGTGTTTTTCTTAATTTTTATAACATTATAAAAGGTGTAGGCCTCAAATAACCTTAAAAATAAAAAGTTTTACATTAAAAATTTTAAAACAATGATAGATTTCAGAGTTTATAGAAGTGTTATATCAGTAGAAGAATTTATTTAATTTTAAATGTTTTCTTTTTTAATATATATTGGATTTTCCATGGTATTTTTCAGTGAGATACTCTATCCTAAAGGTACAACAAGTCCTCATAGTGGTGTGTCAGCTGAACATCTTTGCAGAGGACGAGATTATTTGGTAAGTAGTTATCTTCACAGAAAGTTATATGCATTATCTTTGGTAATTGATTAGATTTTAATCTCAAAAACAGGCAGAATATTTTTTTTTTTCATAAGTATTTTTATTTTTCAGTCTGAAAAATAATTAAAAAAAATTATCCTCATTATTTTAGCTTCTTTCTTTATTGTTTATACCAGTAATAGGTCTTAAAGTTAAATAAAATTCCTAATTATAATTTGGGTTTACATTTTTTTTTGTCTCTTATAGATGTGGAGGTTTTTACATTCAAGCCATGTCACTAGGAAAGAAATCTCTTTTGTTATAAAGGTAAGCTCAATGATTTACTCTTCATCTTCATTGACCATTGGAATATTTTCAGTGAATATTTATCTTAGCTGTTCTTAATTAGCTTAATACATTGAGTACTGATGACACCATCTAGAGAGAAGGCCGAGGGTTGATTAAATGTGATGTCACTACAAGTAGTATATGCCAAAGTGAAGCTGTTGAAAATGAATGATTGTAGTAGGCTTTTAAGTATAGAATACTTTTTATATTACTAAAAAAAAAAAACAGGGTTCGAATTTCATCATATAACTTTATACAATATTAAATTATAAAAATAAAGAAAAAAAAACAAGCAAACAGTATTATTATAAAGACGTTTTATTCTGTAAAAATTATGATGCTAACAATTGAAATTGACAGAATAATTTTTTGTGTTAGATGAAGAAAAACAAACCAGGGTTTGATTTCTACCTTACATGATAAATAAAGAACAAACAATAAATAGATTAAAAATCCGTTTTTATTTGAAATATTATTCCATGAAGTTACTATATTATATTGACATAGAATATTTTTTTATATTACAATTACATTAAAAAAGAAAATGAACAAAGCTTCAATTTTTACCTTAGAATAAACTTTGTCTAAAGGAAAATTATTTAAAGTTTTTTATTTGTTGCTATATTAAAGTAAATAGTGTACATTTCATTATTGAATTTAAAGACTGTAAAATTTGTTCTCCTTATTTTGATTGTATAAAATTATTTGAAAAATTTTTTCCTTACAATAAAAAAAATCAACATGGTTTTAATTTGCATGTTCTATTTTAATTATTCTGTAGTACTAAAGTTACAATATTGAAATTTTTGTTGTGTAGAAAATGACAAATTTTAAATAATTGTAGGAAAAAAAATGTTACATATGGCAAATTTAGCTGAAGGTTTAAAGTTTTCTTTTTTGGTTAACTTGTTTTTAGTAATGTATTATTATTTTCCCTAGCACAAAAATTATTCAAAAGGACATTTGAAGAGTTCTAGATAAGCATTCTTTCTAATTTTTTAATATTGTGACCCTCACTACAAGAGTCTACATGAAAAAGATGCTCATTATCTGCCAAAACATAAGGTTATATGCATGGCTAATTGCCTTTGATTTACTGAATGAAGAGGCATTTTTTTGTCAATTTACCAATAATTATATACAATTATAGATAACAGCATTTGTAGTATCATTAAGATATAGCAGAGAACCTCTATAAATACCCTGAAAATAACTTTATTTCAGGTATTTTGTCCTCATTATCACTTTCAGATATTAAATTTTGCAACCATTGCATTTCATTTTCTTAAAAACTGCATAACAGCATTAACCTGCTACATTTCATATAACATGAATAACTTCTTTGCATTCATTAACATCCTCATCTATTAAATCTGTTAAATTTATAAATATCTAAATTTTGCTCACCTGCTACGTCATCCCTGTTAGTTTGTAAATTCTTCAAATCAATACTTTGGTTATTAAGGTCAGGCTCAAGTTTAAAACTGACATCATTCTGATATTTTTTTCCATACTCAAACACTTGACATATAGAAATATTATATTGTTCACCACCAAGTTGCCAGTAATGGCCAAATCTATCCTCTGGGTGTTCTGTTTGAAATTTACCAGCTAATGCATACTTCATTTTCAATTCTTCTGTGCAATGTTTGCTCAGTTCTAGAATTGCATGTGTAGTATTGATGCAAAGCTGTTAAGGTTTCATTTGTTAGCTTACCATTTTCCAGGAATGCTAATCAGTTGCAGAATATATTGAGAAATATATAATTATTATCATTTACTTTAAGTGGATTAGCATATTTATTTTTAAGTTGCTAATGTTTATATGGTGTTTTTACACTTAGTATTGTCCACGTATAAAATATGTTTTATGTCTTCTGCAAAATTAGGCAAACATTTCTGTTTCCCTATGCTCAGCAATCCTTGAATAGTGAATTGGTTAAAAATTTGCAAACTAGTGGAAGAAAGACCCTTTGAGGTCAATTTATAGCAACATTTCAAAATTGACTGAGATTCCAGGAGATGAAACGTCTGTAAAGTACAAAGTGGGACACTGAATATTGCCTGAATCATGATTTCCATTGAGACAAAATTTTGGGAACATGTATTTACTTGCTTCTTTTTGACCAAACCAATTGTTTCTAATGCATTTTAGTATATGAACCGAATACGAAGAAAAGGGGTCTAGATTTCATAACTGGATGTGGATATACAATTGAAAGTTTTGCAGGACTAAAGAAAGATACAGCTTTCTTATTTATTACATTATTACCTGTTATAACTGATATTACTCTAAAGCCTATCTCTTCTAGACCAATTATATGCCAATACATATCTGCAGAGGGGTAAGATATGAGTGCTACCTGTTTGATGTAGGTGGTGACCTGTAATGTCTGGGGATGGGTTCCTGGTGGTTGAGGGTTTCAGGAGTTGGGATTAGTTAATTCTAATTCTCAATACACTACTTTGGCCCTTACTTGGATTAGAATAGGGTGGTTGGGGAGGCCCAATCTGGTCATTCGGCTGGTCATGACAAGCCTTAGCACCTATAACTGTATCAATTTATGGAGTACTTTATAACTAAATACAATACCCCAAATATACACCAAGATAAAATACCATCTCTATCCAATTTATAGGTGTTAGAAGTTGATGGTTGAGGGTCATTTAGTTCAAAGAGATCTAGACCTAGCCAGTTTGTACACTTATTTGGGAAGTGCAACAAATGGTTTAATGGGTGCTCAGAGTCTCTCTCAAATATGAGTATACTGATTTGGGTAGCATCAAAGCAACTAGGTTTCCTTTGTTCGGAAAATGTAAACTCATTTTCAGAAAGGAAAACCAAATGTTTACATTTCTGCAAATTAAGAAAATTGCACAATGATCCATAGATGGAGCAGAAATCCCAGTAGTGGAACAACACAAGTTTCTAGTCATTATCTTTGATAAAAAAAAATTAAGGTTCATTCCCCATCTAAAATAATTGAAAACAATAATGTAGCAAAGCCCTACAACTTCTGCATGTAGTGGCCCATACTGAATGGGGAGCAGATTGACTAACATTAATCAAATTATACCGATCACTACTTCACTCAAAACTGGATTATGCTTGTTTCATAATATGGGGTGACCAGGAAGTCGTACCTAAAAATTTTCAATTCAAGCTATCATTAAGGCTTCAGATTAGTACTCTGGGCTTTAGAACATCCCCAGTGGAGTGCTTATACACACAAGCTAATAAATCACCTCAACATTTATAGCACAATAAACCTTGGCACCATAGTACTATATAAAAATAAAATCATGATAACTAACTGCAGTACCTTTTGAACTGAATTACTACAATCTCTTCTGACAAAAAGATAATGCTATACAATCCTACAGACTCTGGACAAAATCTATTTCTGCAGAGTTAGGCACCATACTCTCAAATATACAAGAAAGAACTGCAGCCAGTATTCTACTATGGACTATGAAGCAACCTAAAGTTCTGTTAGAATTACATAATCTCCCCAGAAAAAAAAATGCACCAACTCGCATTTCAGTTTCATATTGACAAACTTCTCTAACCATACATCCATCTATACAGACAGGTCAAAATCTGAGGACAAGATAGGATGTGCAGCAGTGAGCCAAAATATTACCAAAAAAAGTTGCCTTCCAGAGAGAAGTTCTATTTTCATTGCAGAGTCTCATGCAGTTGAGCTAGCTCTCAACATTATCTCAGAGTAAACAAAAAATTTTCTAACTTTTTCGGGCTCACTATCTGTCCTATTGGCTTTGATGAAGAAAAAAAAAAAAATCCAAGGAAATTATGAAATTATTATACAAAATGAGCATTATTATTAACAAGCATAAAGATATCAAACTATCCTGAATTCCATTGAAGTTAAAGCTAATAATGAAGCAGATCTAGCAGCCAAATTGGCTTTAGATGTGAATACAAGGAACAAAATCCCATGCACAGATTTTAAAGAGGTTATTAATAAATAATAATGAATGGCAACAGTACTGGGATGATAACCCACACAATAAACTCTTCACAATCCAGCCCAACCTAGGAGAATGGAAGTCATCTCCCAGAAAATCTTGTAAGAAAAAGTGGTACTTGCCTGCATATGCATTGGCCATATTAGAATAACCCACTAAACAAAGATCAACCAGCATGTCAAACATGTAAAAACAGCATATACTATTAAACATATATTAATCGAGTGCTCAGATCTTTCTCTCTTAAGACAAAAATACTATAAACAGTATGTATGAACTATTGGGAAAGTAAAAGTAGATGATATAATATCATTTATCAAAAACAGTAGGACTCTATCAAAAATTATAAACCAAATGAGAATGTCAAAATCAATTTCTCTACAAACCGTGTATCTGAAAAGAATACATCAATGAAAGCAGACTCTCGACGACAATCCCCTTTACAAAAGTATATCCATGAAATCGGATCAACAAACTGTTTCCTTACAAAGAATATATATTCTGTTCATACGAATCTATTGAAAAAATCTTGTCAGCATTAAATAACCCATTGAGGTTGCTATGCTATAAAAACAAACCAAACCAATTATTACATTTAAATATGTCAAATTCTCAGTTTTAAGACATTTAGTTGGCATGATATACACAACATTCTTGTATTGTGGGAATACTCTGCTAAGCATAAAAGCAAAAGCATTTGTTGCAGACTCATTGCTATTGTCGGCTAAGCCAACAACATTACCACCTCGATAATCAAAATAAGGTTTTAGGTGAATTTCATCCACAAGTAAAGCTACCATAATATCATTTTTCTCTCTAGTAACCTAAACTTATTTTTAATATACATAAAATTTTTTATCATATTGCTCAACATATGGGTTGATAAGGTTAGCTTTCTGATGGCTGAATAACTAGATAAAATTATATTTTAGTGTCTCTTAACTGCCTTATAACTTCTAGGGAAACAGTTATACAACAATGAAGAAAAATAATCATTTCTGCTGAATAATCAAACTTACTCTTTGTCATTACTTTTAGCCGTTCATATATAAATTTAACTGCATAAAAATATGTAAATGACTCATCTAATAACAGAAAGGACATTACCACATGTAATGCAACAATCACACTGACGTTTGGTTTGACATTTTTCCATGTTCATTTTTTTTTCACATTTTCAATAATAATTTCCAAAGTATCACTTAAATGATCAAAAATCTGATACTCTCCTTCAGTCCATTTTTATAATTTCCTTTGCACTTTGGGACTGCACAACCATATGACATTTTCTTTGTAAATTATTTCAGTGAAAATATAAAAAATTAACCAGAGTCAAGAAAACTCAAAACTGTAAAAACAAATTAAAGTATTTCTTGTTTTAATTAACTTTTGCAGAAAGTAAATGACTACAGAGTTGTTCTCACCCGCTTTCTAATAAAAAGATATGATGAAATAAAGATTAGTCAAAAATAAGGAAAATTACTTCATATAAGAAATTCAGATGACTGTTTTGATTCTTCAAATATTATGTTAATGAAAAGATTGGTCATGAAATGACACTAGAAGCCAATTTTTGATTCGATATTGTAACAGCTATTTCTATATGATAAATGCCATAATGTTTGGTTCTAAATACCATGATTGCTGCTCCAAGCTATATTGAATTAGGTAGCAGAAATTCTGACTTCACATCAGTTTTGTTTTTTTTTGTTTTGTTTTTTTGTTTTTGTTTTTTTTTTTTTTTTTTTTTTTTTTTTTTTTTTTTTTTTTTTTTTTTGTTTTGTTTTTGTTGTTTTGTTTTTTGTTGTTTTGTTTTTTGTTGTTTTGTTTTTTGTTGTTTTGTTTTTTGTTGTTTTGTTTTTTGTTGTTTTGTTTTTTTACTCCTTATGTAAAAAAATGTCTTCTTCACAATTATCAGAAAATTACATAAAAATCTATTCAAATTTTTTTCTTATAGTAATAACACTTTCAATGGTCCCTTTTATGGAAGGGTGCTGAAAAGTTCATGGCCACTTCTCAAAATCTGACCCGGATTTTTTTTTTTTTTTTTTTTTTTTTGATACTAATGGTTGGGTGAGGCTAAGAATTTTTCATCACCTACTCATATAAAAGTTGATCTACTCTAAGTATTTACTAATGGCTGATCATGTATATGACTTTTACAGTTTCTCCTCTATTATTACACTACACAATCCATAACTTGTATTATTTTCCTTGAAGCTTCCTGCTGAAGATGTAAAAGACATTCTTGAACAAATGTCTCGTGTGCGTGCCAGTCATGGATGGGAATTTCTTTTTGAATATGACAAAGAATTTTGTAGCAGGTAATCAAAACACTTACATAATATCTAATTTTATTTTATCACAGACACAAATATTCACTTTTATAACAAAATAATGTTAAAAATTTAATAATACACTGACTTCAATAAACTGGCTTCTTAAAGAAGAGAACTTTAGGAAACAACTTTTAAAAAAGTAATAAGCTATATCAATTACATTAGAAATTATCCAAATTTAAAATTATTAACATTTCAAAGATTGGTTGTGTTTTTCCCTATTGACTTTTAACTTCAACATGACAGACCTGGGAAGTAAAAGAATAATTGCTGTATCAATATAATTAGGCATCCCAAACTAAAGTTTTATTTTCAGTATATCTAAAAACTTAACTTTTAATTCAGACATAGAGTTTTTTTTTTTTTTTTTTTTTTTAGTAGCTCAATGAGCATCTAAGTTATAGTCATTTAAAGTTACTCAAACTTTTCTGTCTCATGTACTATTGGGCCAGAAGCCAATTTTATCTGTATAACTGAAGATGCAGGCTTCCAACAAGTGAAAAATAATTATAAATGTAATGTTATATAGATAGTATGGAAGTAAAAGAAATACAAATGAAATCAATACTTTTAAGATCCATCCAGCATAAACATTGGAGACATTGTGTTTTCCAACATGAAATAATTTACAAAAAAAAAAAAACAGACGGGCAATTCTAACTGCTCATATAAATTTATTTTCAATATTTAATGCTTTGCAACTTCTTGCTATGATTCATAACACAACAGAGATGAAGCTTTTTTATTTTTTTTATTCAGTCATACATCAATAAAAAAAAATTCATATTTACACCATGTAAAAACAACCAGAAGGGGCAATTTGATATTAGGGCAAAAACAGGTCAAAAGTATACAATCCTGAAATTGCCACAAAAAGTATCCATTAATGGTACATGCCTGAAACTTTGAAATTTTACTAAGAGAAATTCAAAAAACAAAGTTGAAAAAAATTTTTTTTTTTTTTTTTAGAAGTGGGATTTTGTTCATAATATAAATACAGTGTCAAATTGATCCCCAATTTATCTGTATTATGTATTTATTTATAAATGTCAAGTTTTAAAACTGTTTATGTCATTAATAACTTGCATACAACTATAAATTAGGGGAAAGGGCCTCAATAGTATGCAGTTGCTAAATTATTAAAATATGTGAACCAACTATAAGGAAATGATTATTATTTACCATTTTATAAAGTTTGAATCAATTGACAATTAGCCAATACTTTGCTAATCATTCCAATAAATAATATATAATAAAGTGTAAATAAACAATCAAGCAAAAATCGTACCGCGGCATGCAAGACTACACAAGAGTGAAAACAAGAAGTGTTAAGTATGGAAAGCCGTTTTTCGCTTCCAGTGTCTCATGCACGAGTTTGTCATTGCTTGGAAATCTTCCATGCAAAAAACAGACTATCATTATTGCCATGTCCCTGTATTGTTTAATATATTGTAATGTTATTGTCATCTTTGATGATGGCCTATGTAAGCCGAAAGCTTAGATAGGATTACAAAACGGGTATCAATATGGTGATTTTCTTTCGTCTTTCAATAATAATGTTATTAAGCTTATCAGATGATATGAAAGGAATTTACATAAAATAAATAGACAAAACTTGTCTATATTATTTAATGAAACATGCATCAAAATATATATATATATATATATATATATATATACACACCCCCAATCAAAGGACTGTCAATATAATTGACAACATTCTCATTTTGTGTATATATACATCATACTATATTTAGTCTAATATGATGAAACCTTTTTTATCTACTGGTGTGACATGTCACATTTAGTCTTGTCATGTCTACAGCTAGCATATTGGCTGCATTGCCACCATACAGCAGAGATAGATAAGAGTCTTGCTCGGGTTAATAAGGGTAATCACCTGAAACAATGGTGAGGCTCAGCTGAGAGATAGCCAACCACTGTGTCAACCCTTCATGTCTCTGTCCAGCAGCTCATGCACTGATTAGATCATAGTCTTACATGTGCATTTCAAAGCAAAATATCCAACCGAAAATTATCTATTTTATTATAAGACACTCTAACTCTCAAATAAAAATTATTATTTTAAATATATAAGAAGTGCTGAAAGGTTCTTGGTACAGAAAGCAGAATTGGCATATGGACTTCACACTCAGGTCTAGTCAGTTGCATTCACTTTCACACTAATTTCATTGGGAAAGGCATGAATATGTCTCTGCTTCCAGCTATGGTTAAAAAGGCAGATTAGACTGTGCTCTTGAATTCCAATCAGTGGAGAAGGCAACATGAAACCACTCCACTATCTATCCCAAGAAAGCATTGTAATTCATGCACAAAGAAAAGGAATCTGTAGCCTATACCATGAAGGAACATAACATTTTTAAAAAATAAAGACAAGGAAATCATCTAGAAACCTACATTTCCTCTAGAAGGGATTCTCAAGAAATTCTAATGTTTGGTCAGATTTTGGGAATTGAACCAGGCCAAGAACTATTCAGCACTGCTTTTGAATATAGCTAGTCCCACTTTAGACTTATTTTTACAATGTCAAATTTATAGAAATTCAATAAGTTATATATTTTTCATCTTTGAAGAAGTTTTTAATCCCACTACAAATTTTCTGCATGTAATTAATAAAAATAAGAAGTGTTGATTCATTGAACCACAAGTAGCAAATTGGATGGCATTTGAAAGCCTGATGCTACTAAATTTTGGATTGACTTTTAGTAGCCCATGTCAGCCCTGCTTATTTTAAATATAGCCCTAAAAATCACAAGTAGTGTGATTCAAAATTTAATAACATTGGGTCATCAAAAGCAACACAATCTTAAAATTCTGGAAATAAATTGTAATAGAATAACATTTTTTTTTATATATCATGTTAATTCTTTTTTTTTTTTCTTTTTTTTTTACTTGTTGCAAAATGCATTTTATAATAATTTCTTTTCTCTTCCAGGTATCCTGAAATTGTACAAAGGCAAAAAGTTTTATGGGAGGCTCGATTCCAGACTTTATGTAAACAGTTAAAAATAAATCCAAAAGAAGTTGAAAAAAAATGCAAAGGTATTACATCTGTTTTTCCTTTACTGAGCATTTTATCTTTAGAGAGGAAGTTTGATCAATACAATTATATATAATAGGAAATTATAACAGTAAAGGCTTCCTATGCATTCCCAGTTCTCTTTATTACTTAGACAAGTTCTTTTCTGGCTGAGTTTATTGAAAGAACATTGTTTAAGAGTCTATAATATCTGAGGATTCAATTCAAGCTACAAAGATAGATGAAGCTCATGAAATATATTACACACACACACAAAAAAAGAAATATGTGCTTAGCATTTTTCTATTTAACAGTTACTAAATATTTATACAAGAGAATTCCTTCTCACTGTGGAGTATAGGACCACAGCCTCAACTCACTGGTGTTGCTGGTGTGGTTTTTGTAGCAAGTCAGCTTTTTACGATGTTGAGTTTCTAACCCCATACTTTAGTTATTTTGAATTCAGAGTTATCTTTCTCTTAGACTGACTGCCAACCAAGAGCAAAGATTATATACAGTTGTTTTTTTGTTTTTATAATTGCTGAAACTAATTTACAGTACTATTTTTGTATTTCAAAAAAAAATCTTAATCATATTGCAAACCATTCTTAGGGATTCCATAAACAAAGAAAAATTGGAAATGTTTAACCTTCATGCCCACAAAAAAATCTTGTCTGTATTTCTGAGATGAGGTATTGTACTTTTGACACATTGTTTTTTTGCTTTAAAGAGAATTAATAGATGTTTAAAGAGTGAATAATAACATAATAACTATGTTCTGGGAAATTGAAATCCATCACATTAAAGTATAGATGCATTAGAAAACAAATTTTAAGGGAGAAAAAGCAAATTCTCGCTCAACTAGATGAGTAATTTAAATTGTTGAAAACAAATGGATGTTTTCAAATAGTTTGTTTGAACAAATTTTTCAGTCCAGAAATTATGACAAATTTTCTTGATTTCCAAAATTATCGAAAACCAGAATCTTGTTACAAAGAAAAAAAAAAAAAAAACTTGTGTCCTTAAGTGATATTTAGTAAGAAAAATAATTTTAAGTTGGTCACTGATCAGTGATTTTCTTGTAAGGTGTTTTACAGACTCTCATAAAAGAATATCCTGATTGTCCTGAAGTCTGAAATTATGGTGGAGCAGGATATTTGGTATACAGGGATTTCTTGATGAAACTGGATTCACAGCTAATTATATGCAAGACAAATGTTGTGGATTATTCTGCATTAGTCCAAAAGCTCAATCCTAATGGAAATGTTTTTCAGCAGAACAATGCTCTTTGGCATTCTGCCAGATCTAACAAAACCTGAGAGAAACTGTATTTGAAGCCATTTTCTTGTCTGATTGATCACCAGACATGGACTCAATTTAAAGTTTTATAGTGAGTATGTATTACATTATTGGTGAATTAATTTTAAAATTATATATAAAAAAAATTTAGGAAATGATTTCTGCAGATACAATTTCTACTATTTAACCCATAGCTAGGGGAGGGAGAAGATAGATTCATACTTTTCCAAGGTTATTTGCATGCAAGTAAATATCAATATGCTCAATAGTAGATGTTAATGTTGGTACAACAGAAAATAACTTACGAGATGATTCTACTTCACCAACAGTTTATCTGATAGAACGAAATGGCAAACTACTGTGGGGGAAAAATCTGCCTTGTCAGTTATGTATTGAAAGATATGTGATCGCCTCAGCGTGTATTTTTGGAAAAAAAAAATATTAATGAAACTCGATCAACTTAAAACTTACATGACAAAACTTTCTTTTCCAGAACAAGCTTCTCCTGAAAAATCCAAAAAGCCTCGTACCCCTACAAAATCAAGAAAACGCACATTAAGTGGTCGATCTATATCTGATCACAGCGATGTTGAAGTGGACAATCCAGACAAGGTGATAAACATCAAGGAAGAGTCTGATGATGGTGGCTGTGAAATTGTAGAGGTCAATAATGAAACTTCTCTTACAAATGGACCAGCAAGTAAAGAGGCCAGTGGTGCTTTGTACAACAACCATGCCCATACCAACAGTGGCGGTGACATGCAGCAGGAACTTCAGTCATTTGTTCGGGATAAACTTTATTCGCGTTATGTTTTAACACTGAGTGAACTAAAACGTTTATTTCACTTAAAACTAACACAGTGTCAATCTGGTCACATTCTTGGTACTGGGGTGTCTGATAAAATGTTGGAACAGGCTGTAATTGATGTTGGAGGCATTAAGATCAATAATCAGGTAGGAGAAAATGGATTTTCATTTCATACTTGATTCCTTTTTGTAGTACAGCCATTGCATTTCTTTATATTTATCAATGTTCTCATCTAATAAAATGTTTTATTAGAAAATGTAAAAAAGACAATTGCATGTTACAATTTAATTTGAATTAATCATCTCCACATCTAAGCAACTGAATGTAATGTTTCTAGATGATTTTTTTTTTGTCTTTTTTTTTTTTTTTTTTTTTTACATGGTATAGACCACAGACTTCTTTGTCTGTATTTCTGAGATGAGGTATTGTAATTATTTACACTATTTGGACTGTTCACCTCATCTTTGTTATGTTCATGACATTTTGGCCATTGTATGCTCCAGCCTTCTTCAAGTGATTGAAATTTTGAATTGAACCCTTATTTCTTCCATCAGGGGTAGATTGTTCTAGTTTCACATGCCAAGCCTTTTCCGGATATCTTGGTTACTTTCCTTTAGTGACTCAGCTTGCTAAGTTTATTATTCACCTCTGCTGTGGCTAGGTATTGAACTCACTTTTCTTTTTGTGTGAATTAACATACTTTCTTAGAATAGATAATGGTTTCCCATTGCCTTCTCCTCTTGATTGGAATTCAAGAGCCCAGTCTAATTTGCCTTTTTTTAACCAGTCGGAAGTAGAATCACTGGATTTATGCCTTTCACGAAAGTCACCATAGCTGACTAGATGTGAATTTGAAAACTATGCCAATTCTGCTTTCTGTGTCAATAACAGTTACACTAATTATATTTCTTGTCTTACTAAATGAAATTAACTTCTAGACTATTTACAAATTTTCTACTACATCTAGTAAAGATTATTTCTTCTACTTTTAAACAATACTAAATTGCTGGATGCACACTAAAAGTTGAATTTTTTTAAGAAAGAAATAGAATATTGTGAATACACATGAAATATGGTGTTTTTTTTTTTTGTTTTTTTTTTTTTTAATTACCTCTTTCATTTTAGATATTTAACCCTTCTCACTCTATATGTGACTGTACAAAAAGTTTATCCTGCCACTGAAGGTGACTCTGATCCCAGAACACTAGTGTGTTTGAATTTCATAGTTGTATTGTCATATCCTGCTATGGCAACAGAAAACAACTTGTGAAAATAACAATAAGAATATTACAATTGAAAGGCTTTGAATGTAGTGGAAGGGAAGTAATATTAATAATGCATAGTGTTAAAACTCAATAAGCTTAGGTAAATCTAGCACAAGTCTGGTAGTTTAGTGTACTAGTAAAGCTCAAACTCACTACTGTCTAGGTTGTAACTTACTTGATATCAAATCTTATATGGCTCAAGATTCTTTGCTTGGTTTGTCAGTGATAATAAATTTTCAAACATGATTACAGTTTCTTTCAGATTGAAAATTGATTTTGCTGTGAACTTATACAAAATTTAAGAGGTAATAATTCCTCACAATGAATGTCATTTGCACAGAAAATGGCTTCACTGAAACCATTAACATCCATTAAAGTGTCAAATTAGTCATTTCACCAAAAAAGTTAAAAAAAATTAAAGGGAAATAACTTTTATATACAGAGAGAAGGATCCAAGCTTTTGAGAACAAATGCATGAAAATACTCTGGCATTTTTTTATTGGAAACAAAAAACCAAGGAGTTTGTGTGGAAAAGGGTTGAAAGTTTTGTGGTACACCATGAACCTCTTCTTGCCACTCTCAGAGAAAAATGGCGTAGTTTGGACACATTACAAAGCACAACAGCCTGTGCAAGACCATCATGCAATGCACAATTGAAGGTGAACGTAGGAGAGGGCGCCAATGCAAAATCTGGTTGGACAATGGACAGGTCCATTAGAAATCAGAGAGCCGTGTTTGAATTCCAGTCAGGTTTGTTACATTCACTTATGCATATATACCCATGGGAAAGGTATTCATCTGTCTCTTCTCCTCTCAGCTATGGGTTGAATAGCAGAACAGACTGGGTCCTATAGCTTTGGTTGGCAACCAGTCTACCACAGAAAGAAACAGCAATCTACAGTGGAAAAATCTTCTGCCTAGTCAGTCATGAATCAAGACTCATGATCACCCCAAGTGTGTATTATGTATGACACTTAACTGACTTATTATTTTATACTTTTGTTGCTTATTTATGATAATGAATACCTTTTTCTCCATAAATTCATTACTGAAGTCTTCATTCACGTAATAATGTTGCTTAATATTTGGTTTTATTCTCAGAATATTTAAAAACAAGTAAAAAATAATAAATAAATCCATTTAAATATTTGCCATATCCAATATACATGCATAAATAAATTAAATATTAAAAAAGTCTTCTGTATTAATTCATATTACTCATTTTTATTTCTTCATTTAATTTTATTTTAATTTATATATTTTATTTTCGTTGTCTGAGGAAGAAAAAAAAAGACAATTTTCTGGTTTTAACTGATTCCAAGTTTAAAACAAACCAACTGACTTTCATCCATTCATTATCATAAATAAGCAACAATCAAATTAATGAGTATAATTTTTAAATGACACATAATTTAAAAATAAAAAAGCAACCTTCAAATATAAGTTATCTCCCTTCAATTTTCTACAATTGGATTCAGACAAATGACATTCAACTGGGTTATAAACCAGACGCATAAAATTTGGAGTCTTAGTATTTCATTTCCTTTTTGTAAGCTAATCACTGTAATGACTGAATTATATAAATTGACAGATATTAACTGTTCTGCTTCGTCATTAAGTATTTCTGAAACAAATTACAAATCTATTTTAGCCCCCCCCCTCCCCAAAAAAGTTTTGTCAGCAGAGCCTAGAATATGTTGACTATATCTACTGCAATGGGGTAAGACATCTTCCATCAAGAAGAAAAGAAAGCTGCCCATTGAGTGGATGCTTGTGGACTCTGGTATGAATGACTAAAGTTTGCCTGTAGACACAAGTATAATAAAAACAGATTTCAAGAGAGGTTCATATGTCATAAAATCCACAAACTCAACAAAAATGAAAAATCAGGTATAATACTCTATTTAGAAAGGCAATTTTTTTCACTTCTGTTTACTTTAAAAAAAAAATATTTTTTGCCAAGTGCAAAGTTACTCAGCTTACATTTTTTAAATAAATAATTCTCTTCATGTTCATAAAATTTCAAAGACTACATGAATTATCACAATTGCAAAAAGTGTCGTTTTATGTTGTTGTTGTTGTCTTCCAGTGGCCTCCAGCATCCAGTGTGGATGAACCAGTTTTTACTGTTATAAAAAATGGTGATTATTTAGATCCTGTAAGTAAACTTTTTTTCTTTTTTTTTTTTTTTTTTTTTGACTTTTTCATTTCAACATTTCTTTTTATTAAGATAATTGATTTATTTTTCTTTACTCACCTTGAGAATGTAAAATAAATTTGATACTTTTTAAAAAAATGTTTTTCTGTTTGACTTTTAAGCAGCTTATTGGAGAGCAAGTGTACAACAGAGTGAACCAACTTACCTATCACTAAACCTGATAGTTGATTCAATATAATCACTCCACTTCATGTTAATGAATGGGTCTCATTCTATCAGTGAATAGCAACTTTTTGTTGTGGACATGTTTGCACTCATTATAAGCAGATACAAAGAACTATCTATTATGATCAGAACTGTTGCATTGGTATAGCTGGGAAAAGTGATTACCTGTGGGATATAGAGGCTGAACAACCAAGAAGATTGTGGTTTCAATTGGAATTTTTGTGTTGGCATGAAATCTTTGATGCAGCTTTCACCAGGGAAGAGACCTCAATGGCACAATTCTCAATAGGAAGATTAAAAATATCATTCCATGGATTGTCATGGAGAAAATCCTGAAATGACTTCTGATCTGTCTTGGTATACTCAGTCATATGATCATAATACAAATTGCAGGTTATTCATATATCCTTTCCATGTAAATCAAGCTTTCTTAACATTCCAACAAATTCTTCATGTACTTTATCAAATACCTTTGTGCAATCTATGAAACATAGATATAAAGTCTTTCTGCATTTCTCTGGCTCATTCTGATAATTTTCTGATGATGAAAACTGAAATCCCAGCATCATGAACAAAACCGCATTGTTGTTCCCTTATTTTTCATCTAGTTTTTTTTCCTTACACTTTTTTTTTTTTCGCCTAATACAAGGCTCAAGAGCCACTTACGGTAGAGGGTTACTAAATGAGATTGTTGTAGAGGCAGACAAGGAAGAACTGAGGGATGCATACTATAAGGGTATATAGGACAGATAACAGTTGGCCCTGGACTTGATGTCATGATTGTATCAATTGGGCAAACATCTTTACAGGAGTCTGTTCTACAATGTAACAGTTCTTGGGAAGAGGTTGAGTAGAACTTCCTCTTTACTAGTAGAATACACAGGGAATGATGAGTCAACATGGCTGGTTCTAGCTGTGAAGAGGAACTAAGGAATGTAGTTCGTCTTAGCATCTGACATAGAAATGGTAATAGTGTAGTGATAAGCTAGCAATGTTTTGTTATTGGGGAAAGGGAAAGGGTATTGAGTTCTGGTATGATTTTCATTCAGTAAAATCCTCATGACTAGATTTGTTATGTGACTCAAAAGATAGTTTGCATTCATTTACACTTAATTTCTTTGTCAGCTCTCTGAAAATTGATTTATGTAGATTTTTCAGTATTTCAGGTTACTAGAACATTCTCAGCCTAATGCACTACCTCAAATTCTGAGCAAATGATTAAAAACCAGAATTATTTTTATTTATTTCTTTTTTCTGAATCTCTTCTTGGCCGGGCCGAGAACTTTTCAGCAACAATAACCCCCCTCTCTCTCTCTCTCTCTCACACTTATATATATATATATTTCATTTATTACTTAAGTAATCTTTTCAATCCTGATACCTTCTAAATCTGTCAGCATTATGACAATCTCCTCTGGTCATCATATACATTTTGTATTCTTACATCAGATTTTGCTGTCTGTGCTTTTAAATTTTTTTTTTTTTTTTTTTTTTTTTTTCCATTTCACCCCAAGCAGAGATAATGTCAGAATGCAAGGGGGTTACAGGTAGTGAAAAATAATGAGAAGACTTTAGTGAGCAAAAGGAGAATAAAGGAACAAGAATTAAGAAGACTGAAGGTGGTGACTGATATTGCATTTAAATTTTTGAAGATTTATGCAATGTAGATTCTCCTTTTCTATTGTCATGGGAGTATTTTCCACTATTGCAGCACCTTCTTTTTCTCCCCCATTAAAGGTTTTACTTTTTTAGATTTTATATAGTCACAAAAAATAAGAAAAGTTCTATTTGCTCACCAAAGAATCTGACCTTGCTTGACTTATGAAAATGTCACCACTCTTAGAAACTTTATTCATATATCAGGACATGAGAAGTACTTTGAAATTGTAGTTTGCTATTTATTTGCTTGACATTGAAACAGCTGTAAAACTTTTTGAAAGATTTCTATTTGGAGAAAATGTTTATATACCAAGGCTTACTTTTTACTATTACATGAACATGCTGAGTATTGTTTTATAATCTTTTAGCAAAGATTTTTTTTTTTTTTCTTTCTACAATTTGCTAAGAAAACTTTCTACTTTTTTTTTATTCTCTTATCTCTTTAAGATGCGGGAAGTTCTTATGGATATGTTTCGAACATCCTGTCGTGTTCGGTCAAATCTGTTCAAGAAGAAACTGGAGGAAACTGTTGGAAATAATTTCACAGACAATGACTGCAAAAAGCTGCTACGAGTATGTTTCTTTTTACAATGAATGTTTAAATTTTCTGCCTAAACTATCTTATAACTACAAGTTGGACTAATTATTGTAAATTTTACAAATACTGATTGAACAATATGTTTAAAAAGGGTTTAGATAGCTTTTAAATTGAATTTAGATTTGTATTACTTTACAACCTGGTAAAAATTTAAAGCACATTCTGCCAGAAAAGAGTTAAATGAGTTATTCTTAGAAAATAATCACTTCAAAATTGGTTAATTTGAATGGTTCTCCTGTGTTTTTGTTTTTTTTATTTTAATGGTTTACTATTCAGCCTATCCTAAACATCTTTGTTAGAATTCTCAAGCACATTTTTGGAGGTTAATATTTTGCACAAGGCACTAAAATATTTGCTTCTTGAATTCTTATTGCAAATTTTGATATCTACTTAAGGGGTTAAGCTTGAATAATAAATTTGACAGTGGCGTTTAAATTTGTCTAATTGATTATTTAAAATTACTTTTTTTTTTTTTTTTTTTTTTAGATTTAAAAAAATTAAAACAAATAATTACATTTACCTGTAATTAATCTATTCTGGGCACCAATTTGTGGAATGGGCATTGTAACCTTCTCTGTGAGGTTAAAAAATAGCAACTTGAATTCTTCCCTTTTTTTTTTTTTTTTTTTTTTTTTTATGGACCAGTGGGTGGGGGACACACAAACATATTTGACTGGAGTATTTGATGGCTGTGCATATAAGAAATCCTTAGTCTGTCGTATTGTAATTGTATTTCATGATGTGGTGTTGGATAACTCATTACATGGCCCTAGGCTGGTATTTGATCAATACCAGCAGGGTCAACTGGACAAATGGGTGTGATGTTAAGAGACCTGACACCCCCTAATGATCTCAGTATTACATCATTGATTATATGACCAGGCACATCCTGGCATATTTCTAGTTGTATATCTTTTAAATATTTTGTGCCATTATCTATAATCATTTCAGTAACTTTTTATTTTATTAATATATTAATTTATTTAATATTTTATCTATTTGTTTAATAAATCCTACTTGTTATATCATAACTTCTATAACTAATTTTGAAATCCTGAATACTACAGATTTGTTAAATCATTTTTTAATATGTTATTGTCCTTTTCTTTCTCAACATGTTCAGCACTACAGATGCCAATGTTTTCAGTGCTCTTGCCAAATGATGTTAATTATTTAACATAGCCCTTCACACTTTGTGTTCATTTTTTCTCCATTCACTGCTGTAACTAATACTAGCTTTCAAGCAAAGCTATTTAGTCTCTGGAATCATATTTCTTTCATAAATGCTGAGGGTGCTAAGATTAATTTTTGAAAATTTGAATTTTTTTTTTCTTTTTTAATTTTCAAATTAAAAATGACCTTTGCTTTTTTTCAGGATTATTGCATCACAAAAGGTTGTTTATGGTATTTGAAAGGGACATACACTGAAGAATCATGACCAATGGCTAAATTTTCTCATTGTATACTGCAGACAGTTGTATACTGTCATTCTTTGTCATTAACTGTTATTCCCGATTTTAACAGGATGGGAAAAGCTAATGTGAATTTACTTCTCCTTGATTGCTTTTAGGGAATGGACTTCATATTTTCATATTGAAAAATTGGCTTTACAATAAATTCTTTTTATAAATTAACCACAAAATATTGATTTGTTTTTTATTTACATTTTTATAAATTGGTATTTGATTATAAAGTGGAGAAGTACAGACCAGCAATTTCCCTAAAGAAAAGCTTGTCTGAAAAATATTATCTAAAGAAATAGTGGTGGAAGCGAGTTTTCAACTGCATATTCAGTGTCTTGTTTTCAAAAAAAAGTGCTGGGAACGTTTTCACACAACTAAAGTAAGTTTAAAAAATTAAAACTTAAAATTACTACTTGTTTGCTTTTTAGTCTCCTGAAAGATTTAAAGTTGTGTATTGAAATAAGTATGCCCACTGCTTTTTAAAAAGAATGGGCAATGATTTAAATATCTTTTAAAATTTAATATTTGGTTTTAATTGCAAGGAAACAACACTCTGTGTGTGTATGCTGGACTCTCCCATCAATTTCGATGTATGAGGGTCAAGCAACTCTGTTCCTAGAAACTGACAGCTAGACTCCTGCACAGATTATTTGATTATAGTAGTGAAAGCTTGTGCAGAACCAACCACGCTTTTTGGAAGAGCTGAATACAGAGAACTGGTGTACAATATACCACAAGGTCTCTGCTGGTTTTGAGTTCAGAGTTGTCATTCTTGTAGACCAGTTGCCACCAATGGCTATAGACATCAGTCTGTCCTGCTATTTACCCATAGCTGATGGGGGAAGAGGAGGATTCATATCTTTCCTGAGGGTATTAGCATGTAAGTGAATGCAGTGGATTCAACTGGTTTCCTCAATCTGAGCTGCTAACCATTACTCCATCATGGCATCTAATATATATATATATATATATATATATATATATATATATATATAATTTTTTCACTAAAACATTTTGCCTTCATTAGATTTGATTCAACTTTCCATTGAGTATTAAAACAGTTTTATTTAATGTTTCAGATGTGTCCAAAAAAAAAAAAAAAAAGAATTTTAAAACATTAAAGTTTTCCTTTTCATATTTTTTATTAGTTTACTTTTCAGATTTTCTACATCTCCAATTTCAAATCAAATTCCAGGAATTTAAATAAAGGTTTGCAAAGTTTAACCTTCATGCCCACAAACAGTGTATCAAAAATATGTTTTTCCCTTGACACCACTATTATTTTAATTACCTTCACTCCATCAGCAATGTTTGTTGTTTAAAAAGTGATTAGAATTTTAATAAAACCCAAACATGAAAGTAAATTCATACATTTTTCTTTGTTCTTTGAAAATTTACAACAAAAATATTAAAAACTATTTATTTATTTATTAAGATTGTTTATTTACAAGAATAATTTTATATTTACAACATTCAAAAAATGTGAACCAAATAATTCAATGTTTTATCATTTACCAATTTATAAACAAATAAATATTAAAACAATTCTTTTTATTCATAAATTAGTAAACATTTGCTAAAGCATAAAGATGTGAACCAACTATAATGAAATCTTTATTTTTTACCATTTTATGGAAGTTTGAACGAATTGGTAATTCACTAATGTTTTGCCAACCATTCCAAAGAAAACAGTTTGTTGAAAATATCGTAGGTTTTTATAAATTTTTTTGTATAAAAATCTTTTCACATTTATCTCTTTATAAAATGGTAAATAATAAATATCGCATTGTACTTGATTCACATATTTCTATAATCTTGGGAGTCTCGGTAATTTTAAATAATAGAGGTATCAACAGAAAAAAAACATCCTTTAGACAACAGCAATTTTTGTGGGTATAAAGATTAAACATTGCCTAAATATTAATACTTTGTGTTGCAAAAGATATTTTGAGATTTCATAAAGTGAAGATTGATTAACTTAAAAATTATTTTCTCAGACTTTTATTACAAAATATTTTTTCCATAAATAAATTAACTCATTAAATGACAAAATACCAATTTTATTGAAAGGATATAATTTTTGGTAGATATTTAAAATCTGGGTCTTTTTTTCTTTTTGCTCAAAACTTTTCTCATGCAAATTATATCATTGTCTTATGCAATGTAAACAATTTTTCAAACAAATTTCTTTGTCTATATAGCCAATTTTTTGTATCAGAATTTTCTCTTGTCTTATGCATTTTATACCAGTTTTAGGCATTTTTTTCATTACTTTATTAAAAGTGTGTGGAGATACCTATAATATCAAGCATGGATTAGTTTAGGCACAAGGCTACACTGATGATCCGTACGAACAGTTTACTTATTATTACACTATGATGAGGTGCCTGAAATACAGGAACTTTAATTTTGCTTTTTACCTTTTTAATAGAATCAAAATTGGTTAATTCAGTAACAATTATTTTTCATTTTTATTTTTCAATCTATTAATGTTGAAGAAAACCAATCAATGTTAAATTTCATCAAAATCTGAAATTTGTAATATACTGAATATACAGGTCAATGTCACATGTAAAGACAAAATTTCTATTTCCACAAACTCTTTCCAATAAGTAGTTTTCTTGATTGAATAACATTCATACGTTTTAACAGAAAATTTTGTTCCACCAAATAATATTAAATATTCTACTTACTAGTCTAATACAACTGAGCATGGTTATGGGGCTGTTGATTGTGTCGACTTATTTGTTTACTGGGTTGTGTTAAAAATTTCTCTTGGTGTTTGGTTAATCTTAAGGTTTGCCAGTTTCTAAGTCATGGTTTTTCTTTGGGAAGATTCTTGGGAGGAAATGGTTGATGTAAAACTCCCTTTGAGACTGTGCAGCCAAATGTTTTAAAAAAAAAATAAAAAAGGAGCAAAGGAAGGCATGAAACTAAAGGTACTTTGATAGCTGCACATACACACACCCAACACCCTAATGGAAATGTATCAATCCACCTCTCTCTCTCTCTAACACATACACATACATACACACACACACACATATATATATATATATATATATATATATATAGTATGGTCTATTAATGGATAAATGTGCTCAATATCATGAATAGTGTAAATATAAAAGTAGATTCTGATGCCAAGTAGTGACAATCTTCAGCAACAGATTTAATTCTGGCAAAACCATTCACTCTGAGTGCCTACTAGTGTCCATAAATGTCCCATAGAATTTAGTTGTTAAATACAAGTTTATTTTCATTAAATTAGTTTTACTTCAAATTAAAGCATATATATTTACTATTTTTATAATACAATTCCTAAACCTTTTTTTTTTTTTTTTTTTTTTTTTTTGAATGGTTGTGGAGGGGGTGCCTAACAAAAAGAAAAATGAGTCAAAAGGCTCCATGGGTTTAAAAAAAAAAAGATATTGTAAATAAACATTGCCTGGGGAACCAAAAGTGTATATAATAATAGCAGTGTCAAGGTAATAACCATTCTTTTTCTTGTGGGCATGAAAATTAAACTTTGCCAAAATTTTGTATGGAATTCTATCTTCACAAAAATGACAAAAGTTAGCTGCTAAGCATAAAAGTTTGAAGAAACTGCAATGTGCCAAGCGTCAACTTTCAAAATAAAACTTTCTCAAATGAGTAAAATAAATATATTGGCATTTTAAAACTTTGCCACTATTGCAAAGAGTAGACTTTTTTGCAATAGTTGCAAAGTTTTAAATGTGTAGTATAAATTATTTTTAAATGTACTTCTTGTAAGATGAAAGTCAATTTTTACTAACTTTGTACAGTGTAACCCGGATATAAGAGAGTTGTCGGGACCAGAGAAGAAGTCTCTTATATCTGGGTTTATTTTGTTTAGGTAAGTATGGGAACAATTTGGGACCAGAGAAAATCTCTCTCTTATATCTGGGTCTCTTATATCCGGCTTACACTGTATATGAGTTGTAACAAGTAAAAATATGAATTTGCAAACATTCAAAAAATGAATTTCTTGTTTATTACATGAGAAACCACAACCATAAATTTAGAAGCGACAGAAAAAAACTTGACACTAAGAATTCATTTAAGTAAGGAATTGAATCAACCTGATCATTTTTCTCTGTTCAATAAGAGAAGGAGGCTCGTGATAAACAGTAAACATGCTCCCTCCTCACATACACGTCCACGCACACAAAGAGAGGGGGGAGAGAAAATTACACACCAAATATAAAGTGATTTTAATTTAATGAATAAACAAATTTTGTTCAAGAAAAAAAAGTTCTTAGAAGATAAAGATCATTTTTGTTCTATGACAAAAACATGACATACTTTGTCAGAAAAAAAATAACGCACGTTCAATAGGCGTCTAGGAAAATCCTTTAAAAGTAGAGATCTCGAAAAAAAAGATACCTAAGGTTTAAAATGGATTTTTTAAAAATGAAATATCTTTCTTGACGTTTTGATTTTTAGTTTTAATTGCAAAAGTGTAGATAGGTTCGCCTACCTCCCGATTCATACTCCTTCCCTGTCTTTTGAATAGCAGTAGAGGTTTATTCTTTGTTTCCGGTTTCTTTTACTCTCAGTAGTTTCACATGCGTCTTAGTGGCATTATCATCTTGCCTGTGGGGTGAATTGATTAAAAAAAAAATTCCAATAGGCATACTCTTCTGTATTTCAAATCGAATTTAGAATGATTTTTTTGAGAAATCTATCAGCACAACATAATTCTCTTTATTAAAAGATTATTCAAAAATAAAATATACTTCTCAAACGTTATTTGAGGAAGATTAGCTGATTTCAAGTTAAATTATCTGAATTAAAACATTACTTTTAGATTAAAGTATCGCAGAAAAGCATTTTTTTTTTTTTTTTTTTTTTAAACACAAAAGGTGGGTGTTTTTATAAGGTGTTGACAGACATTTATCAACAGCTTGATGTTTGGGAAATTTTTCTCAGGAGGAGATAATAGATATAAAAT